CTTGTTTTGAGCCTAGAACCAGACTATCGACTGTCATGATTCACATCATATATATAGGCCTATATAATATTATTATAATAAACGTGAAAGACAAAAATTAATGCTCAAACTCAAAGTAGAGAAGAATACTAGCCCAAGTAGACCTATTCAGTGTGAGAGGTGTAAGAACTGGGGGAGGGCAAGATGCAGTGATATTGAAAATCTGCGAATCTTCAACAGAAAGCTAAAATATAGAGATCTAATTGACTGTCACCAATCCAATGAAAGGCGAACACTTAGGCCCCTAAGTTCCAGAACACGCTCACAAGTTATGACGGTTCCCGATTTCACACAAGACCTGCACCGACGCACACTTTACTTTGCAGAGAGCTGTAGATCAGGACTTTTTCAGATAGTAATCAAAATTCTAAACATTTGCTTTCTTTCAGTTTGTTTGTTTGTCTTCTGGTGTTGCGTCCAGCCCTCCCCCTATCCCCGAGTGCGTCTTTCAAAAAAATCAATAATCCCCCCCCCCATTCCTGAGTCCTGAACTTCGAAGCGCTCAGAACGCGCGCAGGTTCAATGACCGGTCACATGGCGAGCCAGACAAGACGCTTGCATAACTTTCTTTTTGGTCTTGCCCCCACAAGTGACAGCACAGTGACAAATATTGATTTATTTTCATGGCGACACCACGTTTGCAATGCCGAAGCTGCAAGTTACAATAAAGGTTGCGTCATCAGACAATTACTGACAAACTTCTGGGTGGTAACGAGAGCGAAAGTAGACCTTGATTTTCCAGCCGAGCCTTGGTGACAGAATTCCGCTTGCCGCCAAAGCCGCCAGTTCGCGTGAAACGTACTCTCCAGAGCCGAATTAATATCACAATCGTGACCGGCAGAAATGAACTTAAAGACGTTATTGGATTTGGTTTTTCAAATATTCGAGATCTTGTATGTATTTTCCCGGGTCTCGGCGACATTTTTTTTTTTTATTCCTGGGGCCAGGCAGTCACCCTGCTCCCAACAACTCTCTTTCTGATTGGCCCGCTGTCGCGGTAGCGGGGTTTAGCAGAGGAAATGGCGGTAGCAGAAATCCGCTAAATGATAAAATAGTGGACTATTGAGACCCATGTACTACTACACGTTCTTTGATCACACGAGTAGACAGTCTATTTATATCCTGTCACGCACTATTGAAAACAGCGAAACATCTGTAAAAACATTAGATCTAGTTGTGTTATATCGAAACATCAGTCGAAAGATCAGTCGTGTGTCTGTCTGTCTGTGTATGTGTTTATCGTGTGCAGGACACAAACCAGCGGGACGGTACACACACCCACACAAATATATACACACACAAACACACTGCATGTTCGGGCCATAGATTTATACTTTTAAAAAATCCTAGATTCCGTACTGTCATGACGGCGCCTTTTCGACCTCTGAAAACTTTCCTGTATATTGTGTACACCATTGGCCTCACCGTTACAGAAGAAGAAGAAGAAGAAGAAGAAGAAGAAAAAGAAGAAGAAGAAGAAGAAGAAGAAGAAGAAGAAGAAGAAGAAG